CCTCTGTCCTCTGACCTCTGTCCTCTGTCCTCAGTTCTCTCTGCAGATGGATCTGATCCGGCAGCAGCTGGAGTTCGAGGCTCAGCAGGTCCAATCAGTGATGGAGGAACGATTCGGCTCCAGTGACGAAATCGTTCAGAGGACGCAGGCGAGTTTTACATCATTGACTAAACTAATATTTAAACATGTAAACTACAGATACTTGATTATTTCACATTTAATTCTTGACGAGATGTAACACAGACAGCTGCTGGTGGAAACATCTGGATGTGTCTGAACTGTGTGTGTGTTGCAGATGCGTGTTGCTCGTCTGGAGCAGCTGGAGAAGGAGCTGCAGGAGGCCCGAGGGAGTCAGGAGAGTCAACTACAGGTCAGACTCACACACACACACACACACACAGTGATACACACACGACAGATGTGCAACACAAATAAAACATCACATGAGAACAAACAGTTTTTATCCGACTGATTCTAACGAGGTTTTAACTCGATTCAGAAACTCTGAGCTTGATTCTGTTTCTCTTGCTCGTCTGTCTAAAGGATCATTTGTTTAAACTTTACGTATAAAAAGGAAACAAACATTTTAAACGACGTAACCGTCACTGTCCACAGATGTCCACATGTCCTGTCCGTTGACATGACTGTAATACATCCACCAGAGGGCAGCACAGAGTGCAAACATCTGACGTTTATCAACAATTCTCAAAAAGTTCCACCTGTTTCTTCTTTGTGCCTAATGGTCGTGTCGTGTCTTGTCTGCGCTATTGTCTACACTGCCCCGCCATGGATTCTGGTGGGAGTGCTCCATGTTGTCTGCTTGGTCTCTATCCTTTCAGAAGGCTTGTTCAAATATGTACAACATAAACAGACAGGACGTGAGGATCTTCGAGTGTTAGCGAGATTCACTGCAGCAGGCGTTCCCAGTTTAACTCCACCTGACAAAGCGACACCGAGCCGCCATAGGCCCACACCCAGAAGCCGGGGTACAGAGGCTGGGTGAAGGTGGAGGTGAAGGTGTGGAGGTGGACCATGGCGTCCTGTGAGATGCAGTAGAAGGACAGAGATCCTGCAGACCAGTCCAGGTAAACCCCGACTCTGCGGGTGAAGGGTTCGGGCGAGGACGACTTGAATCTCTTGTTGTTGCAGCACGGAGTGTAGCTTTCTTCCGAGCACTCCAGACTCCAGGAGCTCTCGTTGTGTCCGAGCAGACAGCTCGCCGTGTCCCCGTCTCTGGAGATGCTGTTGTAGGTTACGCCGATGTCGGCGCCGCCGCTCCACTCCACCTCCCAGTACACCGAGTCCAGCAGCCCCTCCCTGCACAGGACCTGAGGGCAGCTCTCAAACCGGTGCATGTTTTCCAAGTAGCGATTGTCCGACCAGACGCGAGTCGCCGTCCTGTTGTGGTCGGACAGGAGGAGCTCTGAGTTGGCAGTGTTGGGGTCAATGGTCAAATAAATGGCAACTGAGGAGGAGAAACAAGGAACGTGATTGGTTGATCAAACATCGGTGGAAAATGAATTACAATTTTAATTTTTGAATCCAGAGGAGGATTTCTACAAACTACAAAGTCTGTAGAAACTAAATCGGACATTTTGTTCACACGTGATCCTCCACAGAAAATACAGAGAATCTCTAGAGATCAGTTCAGGTCTGAAAGCAGCTTTATAGAAACTTCTTCTCCTTCTCCTTCTTCTTCTTCTTCTTCTTTAAAGTTGTCTTTTCAGTTACAGTGTGTGCTGTGTAACATCTAGAGAGGATATTAAACTTAAAACCCATGTTAGGGCCTGAGCCCACGGAGCAGCCACGTGTGGATTCTCATGATGTGACTCAGTGCAGACGATTCTGTGAAGTTCATGAAAGGCTCTCACACAGCGGCAGGTTAGATCAAATCTTTCATGTGAAGCAGAAAGAAATAAAAATCACGATCTTACAGTTTTTCACAGACCACAGTTCTTCTCCCGGCTCGTTTCTGCAGGAACAATCAGACAGTTAGTGAATAGTTTGGTGATGGGTGACTTTAAGTGTGTCCCAGGGTTCCTCTCACCTCCTGTCGTCCTCTTTGTCTTCTGTCAGACTAATGAGACTGAGCTCAGAGATCAGATTCTCCCAGTGAAGAGTCTCTGAAGGTTTTTCTTCTTCGTTCTCGTCTTCCTCTGATTCCAGTGAGTCGTCGTCACATCTCTGATCTGCTGCAGATAAACAGACTTTGAATGAACAGGACTTGAACAGAGTTTCTCTTCCCGCTCGTTGCTGGTCTGGAATCTGTTCTGTGGCTCCACACGACAACATCATCTGTATTTTGTGAACATGATTATTTTAGATGTTGTACAAACGTTCACTTGGTCTAAGAGATGAACTGAATTAGAATTTGACAGTTAAAGGTCGAAGATGCTCAGACACAAACTTTCTTTGAGATAAACGATGACACAATTAGACTTTAAGT